TCCTGCCAAACACCCTCCTTCCCCTTGCCCTCTCCCCTCCCCTCTCCCTCCTCTCCCCTCTTTCTTTCTGGACTATCTTTGTGTTTTATCATTCTGTATGAATATGTAAGTGTATCTGTATTGGTTTCATAATAGTATTGAGTATATTGGATACTTCTTCCATTCTCGAGATACTTTACTAAGAAGATGTTCCAGCCTTCTGCCTATGGGAAGGGGCCTGTGTGTTGGTGAGAGAGTGGAGCCCGTACACTTTTCTCACTCTTGCTGTTACTGCGTTTGTGCATCATCCCAAACGTTACTTTATGTACAAGTAAACAGTGATACTGTCAAGGTAAAATAACACAGGTTAAGTAAATAACACATCAAAAGAATGCATTTAAATGAAATTGGGGCACCTTTTTATTTTTCCTTACCTTCCTTAACTTTTTATGTCTACAGTAATAATATAGAATTACTTTGGAATAAACAAAAAATTGGAACTCTGGGCTGGGTACAGTGGATCACCTGCTCACAAGTTTGAGAGCAGCTTGAGCTAGAGCAAGACCCTGCCTCTAAAAACAGCCAGGTGTTGTGGTGGGCACCTGTACTCCCAGCTACTCGGGAATTGCTGAAGCAAGAGAATTACTTGAGCCCAAGAATTAGAGGTTGCTGTGAGCTGTGATGCCAAGGCACTCTACTGGGAGCAACAAAGTGAGACTCTGTCTCAAACAAACAAACAAACAAAAAACTGGAACTTCCTCTTGAATAGGAAGCAGAAGCTATCGCAGTTGCCTGTCCACTTACTGAGATCTCCAGAATAACACCAGAGGCCTTTCAGCCCACATGTGTTCTTGAACAGGGCTGTCCTGAGGTTCTGAATGTGCTAGACAGCGTAGCTTCCATTTCCTGTGTCTTTAAATCCTCTTGCTGTAAGCACCCAGCTTTCCTCTTACTAGCCCTGGGCTTATTCTGGGGCCTTTGTCCTACAACAGGGGTTCTCAACCTGTGGTTTGTGACCCCATTGGGGGTCGAAGGACCCTTTCACGGGGGTTACCTAAGACCATCCTGCATATCAGATATTTACATTATGATTCATAACTAGCAAAATTACAGTTACGAAGTAGCAACGAAAATAATTTTATGGTTGGGCATCACCACAACATGAGGAACTGTATTAAAGGGTCGTGGCATTAGGAAGGTTGAGAACCACTGTCCTATAAGGTTCTTTCCAAGCATATAGAGCCTTCACTGGGAAAAATAGATTTTTCCTATGCTATAAACCCTACCAATACTAGTATTCACTTAAAACCAAAAGGAAAATGGCTTACTATCTTTTTGTAACAGTTCAACTGGTTCTCTTCTTCTCTCCCCAAATCTTGACTAGGAAGGGACACACTATAGAGAAAAATATCACCTGTGTACTCAGTCTTAAGATATGATGTTAGTGTACCTTCTGTGAAATAGCAGCTCTCCAACCTCGAAACAGGTCTTAAGAGAAATTTGTTAAGAGGGAATGAGGATTTAGAGTTTTACAAATGAGCACGCCTTCTCTTTACTGGTGTCTTAGTTTCTCTGTTGTTTATGTTCTATAGCCAGAAAAGCTGTGCAGCTACAAATAGGGCCAGGTTATACATAAGATCAAGGCAGGTCTGGGTAGTATCTGTTTCATCTCCCCATCCCTAGCGTCTAGTCCCATGCGTGGCACAGAGTAGGTGCTCAGTAAAAACACTGCTGAGTAGAAAGGAAATAGTCCGCACACAAGCACATACTTAAGCAACAAAATAACAAGCTTTATTACCTGGTTAACAAGCTTTGTTACTCGGTTTCCTTAGAATGTCTTTAGTTCTTTCCTAAGTTATAACCAGAGGAATTTACAAAATTTGAAGGATTTAGAATGTTCAGAACAACAATCAGAAGTGGGAATGGATTGGTAGGAATAGACCATATACTGCAGATAAATACCAGGCTGGAGTCTTTGCAGTTGGGGGTCTGCACATGTAACATTCCCAGGCAGGGAAGGGAAGGGATGGGATCAAAGAACCATGGCCTAGGGGGCCAGGGCAGTATAAGGATTCCTGAGCCATTGAGTCCTCAATCCCTCATTAAGAACATCGCAAAATATAGCTAGATAATAACCTATGTGTATAATAATAGGTAAGCATATTTATTTTTCTGTTACTAATATAAGCATTTTTAAAACCATCATATGTCTGTCCTTTCTTAAAAGTACGCAGTAAGTGTTACTGACTGGATCCACAAAGGAGCTAACAGTGTGGGCCCTTAACCGTGTTGCTGACATATATGAAACATGCACAGCTGTGAAAATGATGGACGAGGTGTAAATAAAAGGCAGTATTTATGTAGTTCAGCCCAAGTCGGCGCTCTGAGAATTAGTATCAGATAACTCAACTATTGTAAACATTGGTCTTGAAGAAGCAGTGGTTTTACATTGAACTTTTTATTGAAGGATAATACAGAGCATACATACAGAGAAATGTACAAAGAAATATGTATTCAATGGATTGTCACAAAGCCACAGCCAAGTAACGAGCATCCAGATCTAGGAACTTTACTAGAAAGAACCCCAGAAGCTCCCTGCACTTTTCTAGTTACTGCCCATCCTCCCCCAAACCCACTGCTCCAGGGTGCCACCACCCTCTGGTGTCTGGTAGCACAGTTTAGTTTGAAGCAGTGGTGTTAGCATTTATTCTGAAAAGTTTTGGAGATTTCTTTAATGAGCTTAAGGAAGAGGAAAGAAGCCCGACTGCCAACTGTTCCCTCTGTTTGAACGTGTTTCTCTGTCTTGAGTCGTGCTTAAGGATAAGCGTGCAAGATTGGATTACATCAAGGTGCATGGGGATAAGCGTGCAAGATTGGATTACATCAAGGTGCATGGGTGGTTTGAGTTTGGGTCTGTTTGACTCAAGGCCCATGTTTGTGGAAAAGATGGAACCTCTGTTCTCTACATTTCTCTGTTTTGAGGAGGAACAAAATTTTGTAATGTCACTTTCTTTTTTGCCTGTGTCTTAGTTTCAAAGAGAGTTACTACCTTTCCATTTGGACTAGTCCTGTGTCCTTTGATGTTGTTATCAGTGTTAATTTATTATTAATCAGCATGCTACTAGACTTAGTTCATGTAAAGCATGAAAAATGAACTATTTTCCCTATTTTACACATTTATTCAGAATTAACTATTTGGGTTTTCACAATTAACTATTCATGGAGTATTTAACTTAGTTTTCCATATGGGAGAGAGTGACCAATAATAGGTGATTTGGATGGAATTTTCCAAACCATTGGCTTTGTATTGTGAATCTTGGCCTCAAGCATTCTTTGCATTCTAACATTATTTCTTAGGTTTCCATCAAATTCTTACATTTTCCTGTTTATAAATTGAATTGGGTCTTACACTTTGACTATTTAAAGACATGAGTATGTGTTTTTAAACTGGAAGTTGCCAGATTGAGGGACTTCTGAATAGGCAAATTTGTCAATTCAACAGTTGTCTTGTTGCCTTGCTAGAGTCTCTTAGATTTTTCTGAGGTTTCAATTTTAAGATATTAAGAGTCCTGGGCTGGGCCTGGTGACTCCTGCGTATAATCCTAGCACTCTGGGAGGCCGAGGGAGGTGGATCCCTTGAGCTCAGGAGTTCGACACCAACCTGAGCAATAGTGAAAACCCTGTTTTTACTAAAAAGAGAAAAACTAGCTGGGTGTCATGGTGGGCGTCCACAGTCCCAGCTACTCAGGAGACTGAGGGAAGAGGCTCACTTGAGCCTAGGAGTTTGAGGTTGCTGTGAGCTATGATGTTACGGGACCCAACCACAGGGCAACTGAGTGAGATGAGACACTGTCTCAAAAAAAAAAAAGAAAAAAGGAGTCTTGATCCCCATCTGGGACTATTAATGAGTGAGGGGTTCATCTGGTCTGATTTTACTAGATTCATTTTTATATGGTACATACATTCACTATTTAAAACATTTTTGGTAAAATATATATAAGATTTACCATTTTAAAATAGTACCATTTAACTTGTAAGTGTTCAATTGGCTATTTGATGAGCATTTTTATTCACTCACCTCAGTTCTAATCAGCAGCTATGAGGATCTGCTGTGTGCCTTACACTGCAGTTGGTAGATCATTGGCAAATTACGAAACTTTAAATATGATTTCTCTTCTCAGGATCCCTGTTCTCAATCTCAAGTTGATTAAGCCTTTTTTTTCCCCTGGGGAAACAATATATATTTACACCAGTTAAATGTTGATTCATGGTAGATGAGGCCTGAAATGTTTAAGGAAATCTTTGTATAAAGGTGAGACTCAACTTGGTTCTTACCTGGGGGCAGGGGTCTAGATTGAGAGGAACAAGGAGTGGGGAGCAGTGTGAACTAAAATGGCATCCAGCCATCTCAGTGTTAAACCCATTGTCTCAGACCCATTGTTTTTCTAGTTTTGAAGCTCTCAGTATTTTGTTTTTAAGATAAGCTGAATATTCAGATGAGGAAACATTACTGACATATAATTAATATTTTTGAAAGTCCCAGAAGCCAAATGTATTTAACTTGTGATGATATAGATAGTCTTAAAAATCCAGATTTATAGTGGCAGAAGGGTTAAACTTCCTATTAAAATTCTATGCAAATATCTGTGTTCATGCAGCATTAAACTTTTCAATATATTACCACTTGGGAGTAGGTATTTCATTAATGAGTTTAGAACAATCGCAGTTACAGTTTTTATGAAAAATAATTGTATAAAAATATGCATATAATGAAATGCATATTTATTAAAATTAATCTTGAATGTCTGCTACACTGAAATCAGGTAAAAAGTTTGGAATGGGTGTGTATCATGGGTAAGGAATGAGTTATGATTAATTTTGAAGATTCTTGAACTGACACTTAGTGGCAAGACATGGTGCCCATTTGGTTTTGTGGTCAAGGATTTCACCTGTGCTGAACATAATGTCTTACGATACGAATTACAAAGTTCAAACCATTTTTCCTTTTCTCACAACTGCAGACAGGCGAACGTGCACTGGGGACCACCGTGTTCACGTGACATCAAGAGGAAACGGAAGCCTATGGCCGCAGCCTCTCTCTCTAGCCCCAGTGCAGGTGATTATATGCAGTTGTTATTACTGAGCACCTACAGTGTGTCAGGCACTAAATTATGTATTTTGTGTGCCTGTGTGGTAAGATAGGTCATTTTATTCCCATTTGACATAGGCAGGCTGAGGCTGTGGGAGGTAATTGCCTAGTTCTCACGGACCCGGAAGTCTGTTTTTCACTATCACGTGGCTTTCTAGTGTTAGAAACTATGTAGTCCACTATCAAGGATCTCATCATCTGAGCTTTTGTTGTAGCACAGAGAGGAAATTAGTTCCATACTGATGAAAATCAGGTGAGGTGGCAGGCAGTCCAGCCAGTAGTCAGGCAGTCCTGCGGATTTACTTACTTATTTGGTGTACAGTACCATACGTTGTACTGCTTTTATGAATAATACAGTGTAGTGTTTTACTAGTCAGGACATTCTCAATTAAAAAAAGGTTAAAACTTTTCAGTTTTCCTTATAAAACTAATACTGATTGGTAGAAACTAAAATAGTGGTTCTCTTTGGTAGGCGTAGGTATCAAGAGGGAGCACAAAGGTACCTCCTGGGGCCCTGGAAATGCTCCCTATTATAAATGAGGTGGGGGTTTCATGCTATTGACTTATGTAAAAATTTGTGAGCTCTACACTTAAAGATTCGTGTACTTTGCCGCATGTATGTTATGAAAAAAGGGATAGTCATTTATTCTCATCAGTGAGAAAACTGGATATTAAGTGTATTGTAGCTTATGTTCCTCAGAAAATGCTAAAAATTATATAGATCAGAGCAGCTGATAGCTAAGTGAAGGGTAAACCCTGAGGCAGACATGAGCCCCGCTCCAGGTTTTGGCAAACTCTGAAAGCATCCTTTTCGAGCTTCTGTTTGGGATATCTGCTTTCCTGAAGGTGGTTCACGTTGGACAATCTGTATCTGATGATCATAGTAAATTTCTTTAGTGCTTTTCCCATGGCCAGGCCCTGAGTCAAACTCTTGCAAACATTATTTCACTTAATGTTTGCAATAGTTTTGTAAGGTAGATGCTGTTTTTATTTCCAGTTTACACATTAGAAAACTAAGGGTTAAATCACTTTCTCCGGGTCACGTGGTTGATAAATTACAGAGCCAAGATCAAACTGGTTTTCTTGTGACTCTGGAGCTGCCCTAATAAACACTGCAGGTGTTCTGTCTTTTTGTATATAGTAGGATTGATTCTAAACTATGGCCCTGCATCAAAACTCAGATCTGCATCCACTCTATGGTATTTGAAGCATTAAAACAAAACCTCCTCTATCTTTTTATTCTTTTTTCCCCTCCTTAATATCTAGCTCCTGTTTTTAGTTTGTAATTCTTTACAGGAGAAGAACCATTGGGAAGAGTTTCAGATCCTTATTCCCTATTTAAATCAGGAAATGTACAGGATGTGGGAGTAATTAAACGAGACTTATGCATTAAATGTTCCCCTACTGAGCCTAACTCCTCTCCTCTCACTTGTTGACTAAGCCATGCTTCACTGAGCATTTTCTTTTTTTTTTTCTACCCGCAACCTGAGTGCCCCGTGGAGGTGAAGGACATAGCCTGAGCCTGTGCCATCAGTCAGTAGAACAAATGGGCTTGCTCTGCCTAACATCGGGCCATCTCAGATTCCACCTCTTTTATAGGAATGAGTGATGAAGAGAGGTGCGTTCCGCTTTGCCGCTGTATTAATACACATCAGGGGCCAGCTCCTGGTACTAAATCACGCTACTGCATACATCTGTTATCGGATTCTTCACCAGTGTGATGAACAAGACTGCAGATAGAGGCTTCCTTGTGTCATTCTTTATAGGATTTTCCTAAAAGAATAAATAGCTCAGATCTCTGCCAACACTCTCCCCTGTCACTGTGATGAATTCAACTTCTTTCTTAAACATGCAGCCACAAATCTTTTCTCTTTTCCCCCTCCCCCACTGGTAGAAAGTTTTTAGTTGAAATTGACTGAATTTAAAGGTATTAATAAGGCTCAGAGAGGGGAACAGCAGGAAAAAACCAGCATGTCTTGTCTTTTTGTACTCACAGTTACAAAAGGCCCGAGAAAAGAACTGCAAATGACCGTGGGTGTTTAGTAGACATCTTCAGAGTGTAGCACCTTTATTTTCTTCTTTTTATCTTCTCCCCTCTCTCCTTTACGGCTTTATAGTGTGGACGTATCTAGTGCTCAGAGCCACACCCAGGACCCGAGTGAGCACGCAGACCTGCTTCCACAACTAATACGCCAGAACAGGGATTTCCCAGCAAATCTTCACCTTGTGCTAAAGTGAGCTAGCTGTATATGCTCTTAAAGAAAAAATGGACTGTTTTCTCCAAAATTTGAGACCAAGGACTGTATTAAACATAAGGAATCCAAGTGAAAACTAGACTTCATTTTCTTGAAATGATTTTCCGCATTAGAATAGTAGATCACAGCCGTTGGTGTGTAAATTCCAATCCTTCAAAAAGTAAACACATGGCTTTTGGGAAAGGGAAATTGAAGTGATCAGAGATTCTGTCCAGAGCCTAGACGGTTTGGGCTATTCCCTTTTCTGACCTTTCTCTCCCTGGGGTAGGATATATGTCATATGTCCTTAGAGCAGTGGTTCTCGTGACCTACAGGAACTGTATTAAAAGGCTGGGGCATTAGGAAGGTTGAGAACCACTGCCTTAGAGTATCATTCGGAGAGAAGGGTACCTAATAGTTAACACATTGTTGACTGGCCATTTTACTAGAAACGATCTGTGTTCCAGGTAACTCGTGACGGGTCAGCAGTGTGTTAATCTGTTAATTTGTTACATCAGGTTTCCAGCAGCAGGCCAGTGATGCTGGAGATGCATTCCCAAGGACAGGAAGTTTTCATCTGTTTTGCTCACTCTTGTACCTCTGGCATCTAGAAGAATACCTGGCCAGTACCACAAACTCACTAGAGTATTTGTTGTATGAATAAATTAATAGCCTCTTAAAGTTAAGAGAGAGAGAGTTATTTTCAATATTTTTCTAAACCAATGGTTGGATTCAGTAGATCCATTTAGGAATGTCCCTTGTCTCAGCAGTCATAGGAGAAATTCTTATTGCCCTCTATGTCTTTTCAAAGTTTAAATGTTTTTTAAAGTTAAAAATATTTTTTAGTAAGTACTGAATGAAATGTTGTACAGAAGAACATTTACAGTAGGTACATAAAGGACAAAGAGAAACAGTGCAGCAAACATCAGTGCACCTGCTGTCCACTTTAGGCAAGAGAACATTACCTGTAAAATCTTCTTCCCACCCTCCAGAGGCCAAAGTTATTCTGATTGTTTTTTGTTTGTCATTTTTTTTCCAAGTTGCTTAAAGATACATATATCTATTAAACTTCATGTACAATTTCAAATAGGTTTGCATTGTAAATTGCACAATAACTTTATGGACACCCTGTATATTGTCTAGTTTGTCATGTTTTTGAATCAGTAACATGCAAAATTAATCAATAAATGGAATCAAACTATATGGCATATTTTAGAAGTTAAAATATTCACCTGCTTCTCTTCTTAAGATTCATTCATCCATGCCCTGTCAGAATCCATTCCTTTTTAACTGCCTTATATATAATATTCCATTGTATGAATCCGATGAATATACATTCTTGATGGACATGTGTTTGTATCCTGTTTTATTCTGCTTTGAAAAATACTGCATCGTTCTCTGAGAGAACGCGTACAAACATTCTTCAAAGGCAGAATTCGCATTAGGGTGGTATATCAAAAAACAGAACATCACATGTTGGCAGGGATACGGAGAATGGGAACTCTTGAATGTTGCTGGTGGGAATGGGAAGTGGGGCATCACTGTGGAAAACAGTATGGCAGTTCCTCAAGAAATTAAACATAAAACTACCATATGATCTAGTCATTTTGCTTCTGGGTATATACCCAAAAGAATTAAAACCAGAGACTCAAATAGATTTTTGTACACCTATGTTCATAGCAGGATTATTCACAGTAGCCAGAAAATGGAAACAATTCCAATGTTTATTGCCAAATGAATGGATGAGCAAAATGTGGTATGTACATATATAATGGAATATTATCCAGCCTGAAAGTCATTTTTATTCAGAATGAAATTCTGACGCATGCTGTAAGGATGAAGACATTATGCTAAATGAAATAATAAGCCAGATGCAAAAGGACAAACAATATTGTATGATTTCATTTTTATGAACTCCCTAGAATATTCAAATTGATAGAAAGCAGAATGGTAGTTCCCTGGGGCTGGGGAGGAGGGGAAGGGGGAGTTACCATTTACTGGGTGTGGGGTTTCCATTTGATACGATGGAAACGTTCTACTGATAGATAGTGTGATGGTCGTGTTGTGTGTGTGATTGAACTAAATGCTGCTCAACTGTACACTTAGATGATTAAAACTGTAAACTTTATATATATTTTGCCATAATAAAAAATAGCAATAAAGGAAGTTTTTCTAGGGTAGGGCTTTACCACTGTGATTTGGTGACCATGTGATAGTTAAAGTTTTGACAAATTTATTATCAGTTAAATGTGAGTAATTGTATGTGTATGAGTTTGTTGTGAGTGTGTGTGTGTGAGAGAAAGAAATATTTGAGTTGTCCAATGTATTTCTTGCTGCTTTGATTGAAGTTCCAAAACCTTTGAACGCCATTGCTCTCATGAACTCTTGTATATGTGCTGTAGACTAATAGCTTTTAAGACACGTTTCCATGAATCCATGGTAAGAAATGCATGTTTGGATACGTATGCAGAAATACATGTAAATCTGAAATTAATCCTAAGTATACTTCCACTGAGGAAAAAAAGTAATGATCGTAACTCACTGAATTAATTTTATGACACACAATTTGAAAGTTACTGTTCTAGGTTATATTCTGGGGAGTGGATTTATTAGTTGATAGGGTAAAAATCTAAATTCTCCTAGATTTTACCATATTTTAGTGTATGATGGTTCTAAATAGAGTGGGCAGTGATGATGGTGGTTTGTACTTCTGTACTCAGGGGCATTCAGAATGTGAAGAAAATGCTTGGTTGTCACAGTGACTAGGGGAATGTAATTGGCCTTCAGTAGACAGAATCCACAATGGTAACTGTTCCAATACACAGGACAGCCATTCACAAGCAATGGTTACCCGTCCAGAATGTCTTTAGTGACCTTATTGGAAAATACTGGGCCTGTGTTTTCTTTCTGCCATTTTTCTTGTTGTATGGTACGTATTCATTGGTGATACTGGCCTAGCGGAGCCATAAGTTATGACAAAAAGAACACAGGGCTTGGAATCCAGTATCTGAATTTGAATCTTGCTTCTTAACCAGCTTGAACAATTTCTCTGATCTCTCAATACCTCAATTTCCTGATATGGAAAATGGAAATGACAATGTCTGCTAATCAGGGTTTGCATTAAGAGATAAGATGACAGGGCGGCGCCTGTGGCTCAAAAGAGTAGGGCGCCAGCCCCGTATGCCCAGCCCCAGTCAAAACTGCAAGAGATAAGATCACAGTAGTGCAGTGCTTACGCAGGATAGCACCTGTCACGTAAGTGCTTATTAAGTGTTTTTATTATGTTATGAATTTATATTAATAAATTTATTAATTTGTTCAGTTAAGACCATTTTCTCAGATGGAGAAATAATTATCTTACTTAAATCTTGCCTTTATTTTTTTTTGTAGAGAAAAAAGAGAAACCTTATGTGGCTACTTGGTTAATAGGTCATGAAATATAAAGACTAAAGAGAATTTTGTTTCTAAGTGTCTCTCATTCTAATTTGTCTTATTCTAACTTACTTTGTCTTGATTTCTTTTCCTCCTCACTTTTGTAACAACCTTATTAGCACACACGGATGTAGTGGAGCCAACCACACCAGCATCACAAGCCCCGAAATCTCCAAACTCTGAGTGGTTGATCAGGACCTCTGCCGCAGAGAAAACCACAGACTCAACTACAGCATCGTTTTTTAAAATGCCCCAAGAAAAGAGCCCTGGATACAGCTAGAGAGCTCTATGTCAGCCGCCGGGAGTTGACTGGGTGGTGTGGAAACAAATGTTAGACTTTGTGTTTTATATATTCTACGTATCTTAATTGACATTCCCAGTCCTTTCTCCCAGAACCAACTTCTCTTCCAACACAGCAGCGGACTCTTTCTCTTAGGAATCATGTTGTGGGATCTTTTTTGTGTTTGTTTTTTAATTAGTAAAGTATTGAGGCAGCAGTGTTTTTACAAAAAGATCATCTTTGGCTCTGTTACATTGTTATTGCTGTCCCAACATTTACCTACAGCTCCATTCACAGAGCTGTTGCTTTTTTGCCATTATGTCTTTGTTCTCAAAAAGCTAGTAACTGCTTTTGTATACCGTTTGTGCAGCACTTTTAATAGCATTTGAGGAAGCCCCCAAATTTGCAGCCAGTTCCAAACAGATTTAAGGTCTGTATGGAATTGTGTTTGCAGGAGATAAGGCTAGCCTTTGAGTCTAGTCTTGGTTCACTCAGAGTGCCAATGAGATAAATCAACCAAGTTCTCAGTTGGGGGCCTCAAAAGAGACAACTAGCAACGTGGGCTTTGGGTACTTCTTCCACTTTTCTGCAGATGGTCTAATGGGACCATCAGCAGGTGCATTGTATTTTACCTCGTCCCCAAAGTTTGTGTTCCACCAAAAGAGGACACACACAGATTAGTGTAGTGAAGAACTTGGTTTAGATGTATAGCAGACTTAAAGTAGTCAGTGGATCGTGTCTTACTATTAATACTTCCTGTCCAGTGTAAGCCTTTATGTCCTAAGCAGGACTTTATTATTAGTATTATAGGTCAATAACCGGCAGCAGAATTCATACTCTGTTGTAATGATGGCTTCTTGGGGCCATGCTTTCGGGAGGAAAAATGTCTCTGACATGCCTTTATGCTTGGCGTGTTTATGGCGGCTCGACTACATGTAGAGTTGTATATACAGTCGTGCCTGAAGTTGGATCCTACCTTGTCAAAATGAGGAATAAGGGACTACCTAGACCTGCTGGAGAAAAGCCACACTTTCTAAAAAGTATTATTAAGAGTGTCTGTCATTCAGGGGCCTGATTGATAGGAGGGCTCTTTTTTGTACAAATCGAGTGCTTGTACTCTGGAATCCACAGGAGCTGTTTGCCGAGTGCTCACTGCTCTAACCCATTGTAGAAGAACCCCTTCCTACTCCTGCACCCAGTTCTTTTCTGTTTTAAATAGGTGCTGAGTGGGGCAGTGCCTCGTGTCCCCAAAGTGCGATTGTCCCTGTTTCCCACACAGAATGTCAATGTGGGCCACTTTATTATGTTCCCGTTAAAAATCATAGTCCTTATCAGTGGAAACTCTAGAATTTCTTTATAGAAATATAAAGACAGTGGGTTGGATGTGAATCTAGCTGGAAAGGGGAACTTGAAGCTAAGTTTACACAGCACTTTACGTAAGATTGAAAACCTGTCAATTGTTCTTAACAAGGACTATAGTGGAGGGAGGGGGCAGAGAGAGGTTATGGGATGGGAGGGGTAGTAAGAAAGCCAAACCAGCATCCTTCAGATCACTCCTTGTTCTCATGTAGTACTGAGTGTACTTACAGGGAGTTTCAAGGCTGTGCTTCCTTCCTTATGGGCTGCACCCATAGAAGTAAAGGAAATGTAATGTGGTTGAATGTGGAAGGGCACCAGTGAATTGTTGTAGTGAGGAAGGTATGCTTTATTGTCATATGCATTCTTACCTAGTCCCCACAGTGACCTGTGACACATATTTCTAACATACTTGGTTGGGTTTTAAGGGAGAAATCTATGGACTTAATTTTTTTTATTTGTCAAGCTCTGTGTCTCATGCAGAGATTGCTCCTATGATCACTGGCTGTTAATTAAAAACTCCGCAGGTCAGGTGGCCAAGATGTTGCCTAATAGTCTTCCTTTCTACCTATAACTAGAAATAATTCATATATACAGTTTACTTTGCACTTCAGACATCCCTACAAAGTCATGTCATTTTAGATGAAAACAGTCACAGAATTGAGTGACTTGCCCAAAATCACACAACTAGGTCAGGACTAACATCCCAGACTTACAGATTTTCTCTGGCTCAGGTTATAATCTATTTTCCAGCAATAGATCTGAGTCATTCTGAGACCAATATTTGTGAAACAATATGCCGTGAATGTTTATCATTCTGGGGTGTGCTTTTCTATACATTTTGAGTACTTTCAACAAAGATCACCTAAGAATGCAACATCTACCTGTAATAAATGGGAAGAAACCTAGTTGCCAGAGAGAATAGAATATTCAACACACACATACTTTCCAGCACAGGGTTGTAAATTGTGCTCCTCATTTCAAGGTGCCGTGTATGCATGCTTAAGGGATTTTTAATCAACTTACTCTGCTTGCTTTCTGTATTAACCAATTCCACGGGATAAACTTAGAATTGAGTGTATTTTAAATCTTAAAATTTAAATATTCATTTTATATGGCACAGTTGTATGTGTTACAAATTAAGAAAAATCTATTACCATTTAAGGAAAGATATAATTTTAAAAAATCAGATTTTGTAATCAGTGTTGAAAAAACTGATGGCTTGACCTAGACTTTGAAGATGATGCGTGAGCCCATGTGTTTGATCTGCTCAAAAGTAATAACTAAAGCCGAGTTCCACAGTTTTTATTTAATTCAGGGTTCTGATTTATCCTAGCTGGCTATACTACATAGAGGTTGCCTGTCTGAATCCTAATCCTGTATGTTTTCTACAGTGGGCAAAAGTCAAGACATTATCTATTTACTTTTATGAGAAATTTTTCATAAAACATCAGTTTTAATCACCAGTTTAAGGGAATTGGAGAGATTATTTTTCAGATTCAGTATTTTTAAGGAATAGCTTCATTTCTATCAAAACAGTTGCTTTTTGGTAAGAATTGATTAGAAGAGGAAATTAATAGCTGTTTGTTGGTACTGAATTTGGATGGGGCAGAGTATAATTTTTACTAAGTGGTAGATAGTTGGAAAATAGGTCACATTTTAGTTTTAGCCTTGAATTCTTTTTTTTTTTTTTTTTAAGACAGAGTCTCTGTTGCCATAGGTTAGAGTGCCATGGTATCATAGCACAGCAAACTCAAACTCCTGGGGCTCAAGCCATCCTCTTGCTTTAGAGGTTCTGAGCCACATGCTTTTGTTTTTGTGGGGAGAAGATATGTAAAAATCTCAGCATTAGAGGCTGCATTCAGTGTCCTGTGTGTTTTATGAGCCTTGCCTGAGCCAAATGAGAGCGAGGTGGCTTGCTATAGCAGCCAGGGGTGCAGTCGAGTTGGAGGCATAGTTTGGAGGATAGCATGGCTTGTGGGATGAGGGGAGGCATGAGAAAAGCAGTTTCTGCCCGTTTTCGGCTCCTTTGCTAATGCTTGAACTGCTGGTTTTACTTGTCTGTATGTCCTTATCTCCCAGTCTCCTGTCAGGATGGTTAGCAGAGTTACTCTCACTGGCTACAGTGAGAATGGGTGCCTGCCTTATCAGAAAATTGGTACCAAGGGAAAAGGTGAAGAAAAAGATGGGTTCCACCGTCAAGCACTAATGCAAATGGCTCAGAGATGCTTTCTCCTATGTTAAGATCACAGAAGATGAATGTCAAATGCCTGGAAAGAGCAACATCAGAAAGAAATGAAGATGAGCAGTATTGCTGAAAGTGCAGATCACTAAGGTGGTTTTTTTTTTTTTTTTTTTAAAGAGACAAAGTCTTACTTTTCATCCCAGGTAGAGCTGGCGTCATAGCTCACAGCAACTTCCAGCTCTTGGGCTTAAGCGATTCTCTTGCCTCAGCCTCCCGAGTAGCTGGGACTATAGGCGCCTGCCAGAACACTCAGCTTTTTTTTTTTTTTTTGGGTTGTTGCAGTTTGGCTAGGATCCGGTTTGACCCCACCACCCTTGGTGTATGGGGCTGTCACCCTACTTACTGAGCCACAGGTGCTGCCCGCCCAGCAAGACAAGACTCATGGCCAGAAAAAGAACATTTCCTGCTGCTGTAAATAGACATCATGAACACTTGGTAAAATTGTCCGATTTGGGAAATAAAAAATTGCCAAGTATAGTGAAGACTGGAACAGATCCTGTCAACAAGGAAAGGAACGCTGGCAAGGTGAAGAAGTGGAAAGCAAGGGGAAGAGATGAGAGATTCGTAGAGCAGAGCTTCTCAGAGTGTGGTCCCTACGCCAGTAGCATCAGCACGTTTTCACCCTCGCCAGACACGCTGAATCAGAAACTCCTAGGATGAGGTCCAGCAATCTTTCGACAAGCTCTCCAGGGGGCTCTGGTGCATGTTAAAGGTTTTTAAACCATAGGCTTTGCCATTGTTAAAAAGAAATGTTTTAATGTACTATATCCTCCTAAGGTCTGAGGGGCTCCCATATCCCCTCCATAAGTAAAGAGATGTTTTGTGTACGATTCTTTGCAGACACTGTTCATGTCTTTATTTCCCACGTTTGTTTTTATCCTACAAACCTCTGGAAAATCCTCTGGAAATACAGAGGAAGGATGATGTGGAGGAAAAAGCCGTCAAAGCCATGTTTAGATGGGTGGAAATCATCTTTTTAAAATGGATAAAAATATAGCAATTTTTAGTCTATGATAATCTTTTTACAATGGGCAGTAAAAAATATTTGTACAAGGCACTTCCACTTGTGAGTTTACCCTGTATTCTCCAGGATGATAATGATGAATCCTTTCAAATATGGCTTATGAATAGCTGGGCGTTGTGGCGGGCGCCTGTGGTCCCAGCTACTTGGGAGGCTGAGGCAAGAGAATCGCTTAAGCCCAAGAGTTTGAGGTTGTTGTGAGCTGTGACGCCATGGCACTCTGCTGAGGGTGACATAGTGAAACTCTGTCTCAAAATATATATATATGACTTATAAAAATGAAAAAACAATTAGAAGAGAAACCACTTTGGGTACATAGATGTGTAATAAATACCTGTTGAGTTACTGGTAATCTTTGCTAGGACTTGATGTCAGTAGCTAAAAATCATGGGGAAATGATTTTTACATGATCTGTTGTAGTTACCCCTATTTTAGATTTCAGCTAGTGATTCTGCAGAGTTGGAGACCAATAGCAATACCATGCTATTTTTTTTTTTTTTGCAGTTTTTGGCCGGGGCTGGGTTTGAACCCGCCACCTCCGACATATGGGGCCAGTGCCCTACTCCTTTGAGCCACAGGCTCTTCCCACCGTGCTATTTTTTTGTTGTCAGACTTAATGGGTTCAACGCTTCAGACTATGATATCTAATCTTAAAGAGGTTTGAAAAGAAACCACAACCATTTTTTTCTTTATATAATATTTTATTTGTGTTAATTAGGGTGGGTCCTGATGTTGCTGAAACCTAGGCACCCACGTTGTGACTTTTAGGAATATGGGTGGTGAAAGAGTTCACTGGGTTTGCAAAGATATGCCAGTTCTCTAGTATTATTTCCTTGGGTGCTCATTGTGTAGACTCGCTCTCATGTCATTTTTTACAGTCTTTTAAAACATCATGTCATTTTTCTTTTCCATGTTGAATACCAGCTAAAATTACCTCTGGCCAAAAATGTGTGTTACTAGTTACTGTCAAGTCTGAGAAAAGATCACGCCTGTACTCTTACCACTTAGGAGGCTGAGGCAGGTGGATCGCCTGAGCTCAAGAGTTTGAGAGCAGCCTGAGCAAGAGCAAAACCCTGTCTCTACTAACAGAAATTAGCCAGGCATTGTGGCAGGTGCCTGTAGTCCCAGCTACTGGGAGGCTGAGACAAGAACATGGCTTGAGCCCAGGAGTTTGGTGCTATGATGATACCAGGGCACAGACTGAGCTCTGTCTTCCCCTCCAAAAAGATGTAAATTAATGTTTTCTTTCTCTAAACATTAATCTGACCCTTGTAGACCCCTCATTCAGATGTTTTTTTTAAATTGGAAAAGGAAAGAAAATATCAGAGAACTTAAAAATAGCTGTAAGTGGCTTTGACATAAAACCAGTGCCCATTTTATTATAAATAGATTCTACATCTTGTTTCTCCCAGGG